AGACAGCTGAGAGTAGAACACCCATAAAGCCAAAGAATTTCTCTCTCTCTCTCTCTCTCTCTCTCTCTCTCTCTCTCTCTCTCTGTATGTAAGTATGCACTCATTGGGGACAGACTCCAGGGCCTAATCAATGCTAGGCAGTCACTATACGACCAAGTCATGTCTCCAGCCCCTAATTTGAATGTTTAATGTAAAGTATATCTCCTATAATCAGAATAGTAAATGGATATTTTTATAACCTGTCCCAAAATTACTTCAATTTTCATTGGTCAATTTAACATATTTGTGAATAACATTGATGTTTCTATAAGTAGATGGATATAGTCCATTTGGTTTGGTTGTTTGTGAGTGTCTTGTCCTTTGCTCCTTTTCTCCTCTCTTCCTTCAGATAAAGTAGATATTCACTAGTGTGACACTTCAGTTTCCTTTCCAGCATTTGCACTACAAAGTATGTTGTAGTTTCTTAAAAAGTTTCTGTAGGCTTGTCATCACCAACTTACCAGAATCCATTCCAGATTTATTATAAAATAAAATTTATTTATGAATTACCACCAGTGAGATGCAGCCTCCTCTCTTGGCTCCGCCCTGTCCTGTCCCACTTTTTTGATATCACTGTCTTGCATGTCGCACATATCCTTGTTAGCCACCCAATAACACCTTGTCACAACCATTACTTTGATCTTGCCATTTCACTATATCTTGCCTCCAATGATTTCTGGTGACTAGCCAGTGTTAATATTACCGGATTTCCTTGTACAGGACATGCCATCCCGTTGTTTTTTCTTGCTGCTTTACATTTTAGCTTTAAGCACTTAAAATATATTTTATTATTTTCCTTTTGTGTATATGAGTGTATTGCCTGTATGTGTGTAAGTGCATCCATGTTGTGCAATGTCTGCAGATGTCAGAAGGGCATCACATCCCCTGGAACTGAAACCCCCCTAAGGCCACATTCAGCAGGGTTCTCTTATGTGTAGAAAAGAGATGGACTTCATATCATGGTGGGGATACACTCAGTTCCTGCACTCACCAGGCCTTTGGCCCACAGGTGCCAAGCAGTATAATCAGGCTGTGATGCGGGAGGAACCACATCCTCCCACGTTATTAGCTGTGCGGTTCAACCACACAGAAAGGCAGCATCTTACCACGTCTCCTTTCTCTCCCTTGGGTCCAGGAGCACCCATTGGTCCAGTGGTTCCCATGTCTCCCTGAATGGTTAAAAGCAAAATGAGCATCAGGCTAGATCTTCCCGACAGGGCTCTGGGCTGCTGCACTCACAGGCTTCCCACAGCCAACCTGCCCCAGTGCTCTGGAAGAGCTTAAGTCGTGCTAGCTGACGGCACAAAAGGCCACCTGTCTGGAGCAAGCACCTGTGCCATCCCCCCACATCCCTGCAATTTGTTCACCAGTCAGTGGATACCATCAGACTCAGGATCACGAGGACAGGACCTGTGTTCGAATGCTGACCCTATCTTTCATCTCTGACTTTAATCTGGTACTGAGCAGGCATGTAATAACAATGTTGGTGAAGACATGCAAAACCAAGTAAGACGGGAGAGACAGAGGTGGGGTATGGGGGGTGGGTGAGGGGGCAGTTCAGATGAGATGGATGAAGGAACGCTACAGAGAGAGAGAAGGGAGAAGCAGCAGCAGCAGAACAGAGAAGCCCCTGTGCTGGGTGCTTTAGCGTCAACTTGACACACGTGGGCAGACGGAGCCTCAACTGGGGAACTGCCTCCACCGGGCTGGCCCGTGGCCATGTCTGTGGCACATCTTCTAGACTGATGAGTGATGTGGGAGGGCCCAGCCCACTGTCAGTGGTGCCACCCCTGGGCAGGTGGGCCTGTGTTGCATAAGAAAGTAGGCTGAGCATGGGCCAGGAGAGCAAGCCAGTAAGCAGTGTTCCTCCATGGTCTGTTCTCCAGCTCCTGCCTCCAGGTTCCTGCCCCTGAGTTCCCGTCTCCCTCAATGATGAACTGTGAAACGGGAGATGTAAGAAAAATAAACCCTTTCCTCCTCAAATTGGTTTTGGTCAGTGTATCTATCGCAGAAATATGAAAGCAAACTAGAAGACCCAGATATCTGGGTGTCTCTGCCCCCACATTCTGCCCCTCTTTTGAACACTAGACTAGGAAATGGCTGTGCAAAAGTAAAGAACTGTCCCACTCACTAACCATTGGTACCCCTACATCTCAATGTTCTAGGACCAAAACAGTGATGGGGAAGGTACCTGGAGAGTAAGGGAGGGGGAGGCTGGTCATGACCAAGGATGGAGCACTGTGGGGGGAGCACCTGTTTTTGTGCAATTACTGAATTTGCAAAATTTGTGTCTAAGAAATTTATACAGTTTAGGCAAACTCTGAAGCCCAACTCTTGAACATTTCTGGACACCAATCAGCTAGCAAGGAGTGATACAGAATTAACTGACCGTGGAGGGTTGAGCCTGTTGGAGCACATGAGCTCGACCTGTGCTTGGACAACCTGCCTGCCACACTCACATTTTCAGGCTGACAAGTGCAGCTTTGAGCAGGTCAGTGACTCACAGTTTGAACATGAGCCCAGCATCTCAACCAGCTCCAAAACAAAATGCTGGTGAGACAGCAATCTAACACGCCATGGTCAGGCTTCCACAGCCAGTAAAGCAAGGGGCACCCAGTCCATGTAGGTACTGACCTTCTGACCAGGGAGCCCCACAGGGCCATCAAAGCCCCTCTCACCCTGCAGAAAGACAAAAAGAAACAATTAAGGCTGTATATTATTCTCCCACACTCAAAAGCTCATCTTGTGGTACACGGAGTGTTGACCAGAGAGTTGGGCAAGAAACTGGTTGACTGGCTGAGAATCCTGTTCGGGAACTGCTAACCTGCAGGGCAACTTTCAACACAACCTCCAAATGCAGCCATTGGATAAAAGATAGAAACACACCTGGGAACAGAAAGATGAATACCCCATGCTCTCATTTACACTGGGGAGCTAAAAATCCCAAACACAGATGAGCAGAGAGCAGAACAGGGGTTGTTAGTGGCTTGGAAGTCAGGGAACGGGGCGGGGGGGCATTAAAGGATCAGTGCCCTGGAAGTCAGGGAACGGGGCAGGGGGGCATTAAAGGATCAGTGCCCCGGAAGTCAGGGAATATGGGGGCATTAGTCAAAGGGTTCAAGGTTTCAGTTAGATGCAGAATAAGTTATAGGTATTTGAGGTGATAGATATGTTGTTTAGCTTGATTTATTCACTCGTTCTACCAAATACACATATTAGAGCACTGTTTTGTAGGTCATAAATACACGATTCTAATAACCAATAGACAATGTAAATAATTAAAAATAAGCTACTTTCCACAAGCTATGTTTTTAACCTGAATGTTATCACTCCAATTAAAAAGGAAATTGAGACAATACTGTTGGTTCATGCAATGATTATTTACTAAAATTAAAAAATGTGACACATCTAAAATGTGTAAAAGATCTTATTAGTGGATTTAATCATGATCCATAAGCTGAGGCTACCTGCAACATGCCAGGCTGAAAACAACATGATAATTATAAATATATCACGAGTGGACCCTTTGCATGTGCGCCCATCATGAGCAATAATAATCTACACCAATGTTCATTTATTTGCAGAATACATATTTTTTAAATGCAAACACAGATGCCCTCGGCACATGCCATTGAGGGTGGAGGAGGCAGAGGGCACACCTGCCTCACAGGTGGGTGAGTAGCTCCTCCCTGTGGCCCTTTTGCCAGGTGGAGGGAGTACATCGTCTCGCTGTCCACCAGGGACTGTAAAGATGCATGCTCCTCGGGGTGAGCCAAGGCTCAAAGGCCCCACTCCCTAACCAGATAGCAGACCCTGACATGTCAGGGTCATTGTCTGCTGGTCTTAAACCTCAGTGGGAAGGATGGAGCGAAGGAATAGCGTACCAGCTGATGGCACCCAGACTGTGACGCCGAGACCATGTCAACTGAAAAGTTCCAACAGCAAGACTTAATCTGACCAAGAGCAATAGAGGGTGTGCACCTTTATCCCTCACTCCCACCTGTCCATCTCCCTATCTAACCTGTCTTCTCATACCCTGACCCACTATCCATCAATGCAGACATCGTGTCATTGCTGCCTCTGCACCGTAATAGCTACAAGAGAACAAGTGCTCTGAATCCACTGAGTCAGAAGGAACAAGGACGGAAGTGTGGCTATGTGGGGACAGTCTCTGAAGATCCTCCGGACTGGAACCCCCAGCCTTGACCTGCCACATGTGACCATCCACATAGTGTCAGCATGCATAGGGGATGTGAGGACTTTGCTCAGTCCTGGGGATGCCTGGGCCCAAATACAAACACGTTACGATTCTGTTTCTGTCATCTGGAACTTAGGGTTTCATAGAAACCAAAGCAAGGAAGCGTTATCAGTGCACTGCGGTCGCTGTGGTCACTGTGGAAATGGAAGCTCAGGAAGTGGGAAAGGACATGGTTCCTGAGAAAGAGAAGGTGCTTACTGAATGAGAGAATTCTTACTGAATGAGTGGACTGTGGAAAATAGAAGGGATGAAAGGAAGCTTGGAGGGAAATCACAGACAGTATTATGCCCGGCCAAGAGTCGCTGGCCATGTTCTACAGGAAGATGTTGACCAGACAAAGCAACTCTGGGGTAGGAAAAGGTGCCCTGTGCTGAAGGTGCTGTGTTTCCAAATGGCCACCTTAGAAAGGCAGGTCCTGCAGGAAACCAGGAGTTCTTTCCCCGCCTGGAAACTAGGAGGGAAACTGGTGGATTTAGAAAGACTGCGGAGAGTGGCATAGGTCACACGGGGTGGACGTAGAGGAGAGGTGCCCTTAAACCACGCCAAGGGGTCAGTAGAGAGCCAGGCAATGGCGAGTTAAGAGTGAGGAGACGCTGGCAAAGGGAAGGGGTGCCTGCTTGACCTGAAACTCTCCTCTTTGGGTCCAGTAACCACTGGAGCCTTCATGGGACCCACCCAGGCACAGGCCTGGCTCCAACAGGAAGCCTTGGCCTGGGGAGAGTAGGTTTTGGTTGCACTCCATGTCTGTGCATATTGGCAAGAGATCAAAACCTCCCCATACCTTCCCCTTCCCACTGGAGATCTAACTAAAGACAGGACGCAGAAGGATTTGGGTTTAGACAGCTGCTTCTGAGACTTCACTGGCATGCATAACAGATCTGATCATGGGCCGAGCTGTCCTGATCGAGCCTGCAGCTGGAGGAGCAGCTGCCTGGCCTGAGTGCACACACCCTGCCTCCTCCCCCTGACCTCTCCTTCCTTAACCTGTCACTGGTTAGGTGACATCTTAATGTTATGCACAGTCCCACAAAAGGTTCTGTTCAGGGTTTAACAGGTCTGGATTTTATTAGGCAAGTTGAGCCTGGTAACCCCCTTTGACTAGGGGCTCCTTAAAGGGCTGTGTCCCCCTGAAGTTTGGCTCTCTGGGTAGAAAAAGAAGGAAGGATGGGTGTCAAGAAAAGGGATCAGGAAGGAAACATGTTCCTGAAAATAGTGTCGAATTCAATTACCTCCAACCTTCATTTCACCTATAGGCCCAGGGAGCCCCAGCACTGGGCAAAGTCCTCACATCCCCCATGCATGCTGGCACTATGCGGATGTGGATGGCCACATGTGGTAGATCAAAGCTGGGAGTTCCAGTCCGGAGGATCTTCAGAGACGGTCCCCACACAGCCACACGTCTGTCTTTGTTCCTTCTGCTCAGATGGTAAACTTGGGGCTGGAGTGACAGCTCGGTGGGCTAAGACCACTTGCTGCTCTTGCAGAGGACCTAGGTTTGGTTCCCAGCACCCACATGTCCGCTAACAACCATCTGTAATTCTGGTACCAGGAAAGCTGACCCCCTCTTCTGGCCTCTGTGGGCACCAGGCATGCATGTAGTACATGTACATGTATGCAGGAATAACACTCATACAAATAAAAAGTAAAAATAAATAAATCGTCCAATATTAAAGTTTTGTGTGTATGTGTATCAAGAGCTACAAAGCATTTAATGTGCTCAGTGGATGGTGATGAGGATGTTCACAAACATGTACTCCTTTTAAAATGTGAAATTATGCAAAAACTTTTATCCATATATATACACATACATACACCTACATATATGCACACACATATACGTAAAGGTTAATCAGTGTAGCTGCCTAAAGGACACACTGAGACGACACGGCTGGGGGTGTCTTAATGCATAGTGTCTCCTAACACTCGCTCCTTTCTTGTTTAGAGTTCTATCTTGAATGTGTTTTGACTTAGTTGTACAGGAGTAAGAGCCAGAGAGACCTCAGGCACATACTGTTATCTTCACAAAAACATGAATTAGGTCCACGGCTGAGAATCTCTCTTCCAGTGTGCACAAAAGTCAAGAAATAACAACAGTACTCTGAAAGCCATTGTGAGCCTGGGGCATCCTGCTCTGGGAGATGAAGTGCATGATGGGAAGTTTTCATCTCACTCACTGTCAGATTAGTTCTGTCCACCAACCCTGACTGTTCCACTGAGGATGCAGACTGAGAACTAAGGATGGACTATGGATATTACCTTTTCCCCGGATGGGCAGGAGCAGTTGATGGTCTTCAGGAACCCAATCTGTTCGTTGCCGGGGGTGGGCAGCGGTAGAGGTACAGGTGGAGGCTCTGTCACCACAGTCACCTGGCACTGGGAGGGAAAACCAAGATGTCAGAAGCGGCTGTTCACCCAGCAAGCGCTCCCTGGCGAGAGCTCTAATTTCTGGAGGTCCTAAGGGACTGGGCAGGTAATGGCTATTCAGAAGGCCCTGAGGCCACCTGAGTTATAGTGAGTGTGTGAGACACGTCTTACAGACTAGTCAGCCAAGTCCCAGACACTGACCAGCTCGGCAACCTACAAGAATCACTTAATACCTCACCCCACCTTTTCCTGACCACCTAGAGTTCCTCACTTCCAATTGCTCCCCCTCTCTCTCTCCCCCCTCTCTCTCTTCCCAGACACTGACCAGCTCGGCAACCTACAAGAATCACTTAATACCTCACCTCACCTTTTCCTGACCAGCTAGAGTTCCTCACTTCCAATTGCTCCCCCCCTCTCTCTCCCCCCTCTCTCTCCTTCTCCCACACCCACACCCATGTTCACATGCCTCCAGCTCCTAGCACCTGCACACTGTATGCTGAACAGAGACAGTAACCAAACCCTCACCGTGTCCTTGAACCTGAGCCTGTCAGGCTCTGTGCAAGGCCCTCACCCTTCAGCCCTGGGAAGCAAACCCACCTTTCAAGCAAGACTGGGAACTAGGGTTTAGTTCAGGGCTAGAAAGGCGAGGGATATAAGGCTGAGGACTAAGGTCTGAGGGGTGCAGGCACAGCACACGGGGGTCTAGTGGAGCCAACCCTAGGCTCTGGGGCCATTAATGCCCTGATCTCTCCATCCTGCTGCCTGTCCTATGGTACTATGGCTTCCTCTCCTCTGAGTGCTGATGACATCAATCCATTGTGATCACCTCAGGGTGTCCTCGATCCTCTGCCTCCCACATTCCCCAATGCTGGGTCATATCACTTGGCTAGAAGCTTTGGGGTCACCTCGATTGAGGCCCAGACCGCAGTAGGACTTGCTTAACTTGGTTTTCCCCAGCCCACACCCTGTATAAACAGCTGGAAGTGGAACAGCATCCCAGACTCCCCAACAGGCCACATTCTGGCAGCCAGTGCTGCCCTGCACACTCCTGCCCCCACATCCCACACGCATCTCCTCCATCCTGTGTCATTCTGCTCACCGGGCCCGATGGGATGTCACAGCAAGTCTCCAGCTCTGCGTGCCTCGAGTCACAGTAAATCACAATCCGCTGCAGGTCAAACTAGAAGGGAACGTAGGAAGAGAAGTCAGGGATGGAACTCCCATGCAGGCAAACTCTCGTTGCCCACTTCTGCCCCGGGGTGCTCCCACCCCGTTCTCTCCTGTTGGGCTGCTGCAGGGGTTCATCAGCCTGTGTATACCCACATCCCATCTGGACAGAGCCCACTGCAAGGGTGGCTCAGCTGATGCCCATGCCGGCTTCCACTCTGCAGGCCGGTATCAGGCTCAGCCCCACACACAGGGGCTCCAACCCCCCATCTAGGTCATCATGGCGCAGGTGACACATTGTCTTAAAATAGGGAGGCTCCAAGCTGAAAGCTCCGTACGTTCCTCTCGTTCACTTTCTATGCATCTTCGTGTAGTGAATTTCATGGACATTTGCAGTAAAAGCCTGTTGTCGACCCCACCTTTCATACCTCCACCTCTAAAACTTGAAAACTTAAAACAAAGATCTCCAAACTTAAAATCACGGTGTTGAACACAAATGCACACTAGGTCCTCCACACTCAAGCCTGGGCATGCTGCGACAAGCTGTAAAGTGACAGCAGGCCCAGGCGTCTGTCTGCTTTCTGGGCAGGTCCTTGCAAGTAGAAAGTGGATTCTAGGCACCACTGCTTTGAACTCTAGTGAGGCTAGGGTGTAGTAAGGAGATCGGGCAAACTTGGACCACTGCCTGGGCTCCAGCTCACCCTGAGCAGAGCTCCCTTTGCTGACGGGGCCTCTCCACACACGCGACTCTTCTTCCCATGCATTTGTCCTCACAGTCCCACTGCCCGGAAAGACCCCTCTTGTTCGCTCTTCAAGCCTCCTCCTGTTCACCAGGCCCGGGCGCCCATCCCTGGCACTCCTCAGGCTGTACCCACAGTCAACAGCACCTGCAGGTTCTCTGCTCTCTGAAACCCACTTCCTCTGCCCAAACAAAGACTCTTCGGAACAAGGCTCTGCTCTCTCTTTTCCCAACTCTAGAACTGCCCCCGACACAGGCAGAACTGATGGGGGGCTCTGCCTGCGTGGGGCTGCGGTGGCCCTCCACACACTTAGAGTACACGGCCTGCTGTAGGACTTCAGCCTTCTGCCTCTACCATGTGCCCCTCAAAGCACAGCCCCCTCATAACACTCGAGTCTCTGCAGTAGAAAAATGGCAGTCTGGTCCTGTCTGCTTTGTTTCCTGTTGAGACACCAGTCCAGAGGAGGAGAAAATGATGGAATGCATATTCCTACTTTTGAGCAGGGCTGGGCTTCAGGAGACAGCCTGCTTTCTTCATTAGAGAAACGCCACTGGCTGCGCTGACTCATCTGTCAAGGCTTCAGAATCTAGGATGGGGATGAGGATGTGAATTCCCACCATTGCAATGGACCCTTGTTCATTCAGGCACCTTAGTCTTTCCTCTGTCCCGTCTCCCCATGCTCCAGAATTACCCCTGGTGACAGCCACCTGCGTCAATCCAACTCCCCTCTCCTGTCTGGAAACCATACTTGAGTACCATCTTCAGCAGCTGTGGACTGGCCTATGTCTTGGGTCAGCTCCCATGTCCAAGCATCCCATCTTGGCTCACGCACTAACAGCCCATCTAATTGTCCTAAGCTGGCTACAGTGTGGATACTGATATGGGAGAGCTGGGCGCATGGAGCCTAAGGCCCACAAGGCTGAGTCTGAAACTCAACTCCATTCTGTTCTCATAGAGTCATTTCAGTCCCCTGAACCTCCATCTGTTCTCCTGGTCTCACGGAGCTATGGTGGAGCCTAAGTGAAATGGGGCCCAGAGGACCCCCAGGGTCCTTGCATCCCACATGAGCCCAGGCAGGCTGAGGCCTCTCACCATTATGTCTAAGGCCCCAAACATATGGCCATAACTACTGCCCTATACTGTTGCGAGACTGGAGAATGCATAGACTCTCCCTCCAAACATTTAACAGGGAAACACAGTAAGTAGGCAGAAGTGGGTAGAAAATCTCTGGGCGAGTACCAGAGGTGCCGAGATTCCCTGGGGTTTGACACCAGCAGACCATTCTCACATCTGGTAAAAGGCAGGAATGAGAGACCCACGCAAAGAAGCAATTCAAGTTTGTACACTCCACAGTGTTGGATAAGCGGGCTCCATTTCCGGTTTCACATGGTGACCAAATTCAAGAGTTACCGTGGGACCCAGACCTTCCACCTCAGACCCAAAGGCAAGTGCTGAGCAGAAAGAGACCGTGGGCTGCCACTTGAGCAGGTCCCTTCCTGTGCTTGACCTTCCCTCGTAAATGGTGCTGTCTTCACAGCACTGCAATGTTGCACACAGTGAGAGGGAACCTGGCATTTGCTGTGACCAGGCAGCTCTCACTGTCCAGAGGCCACCAGGGTCTACAGTGGCTTCACAAATCCAAGGTGTAAGAAAAACAGGCATTTCCCCACAGCGCTGTCCCAGTCAGAGCACCAGCACACTGGGTTCCCTCTGGTCCTTCACCGACATCCCGAATCATGGCTTTAAGATGGGCTGGTCTCAGCTGCAAAGGGAACCGTGTGATAAATTTGTAAGGCTGACCCCTGTCCAGGAGGAAGACTATCTGAGTTTGCACTTCTCAGAGGCAATTTAAAACAGCTGGGCCAGATGTAGGGCAAGTGGGAACTAAGAGCTAGGGTGCATGAAAACTTGAATCACCAATATTCCTCAGGCAAGAGACTCCTCCCCTGAGAATTTGGAGAAAGTCAGAGACTTGGGACAAAGGATCAGTAAAAAGAAAGAGAAGCCAGTGACAAAGCAAAGAGCCTCCCTCATCAGTCCCCAGTCTCAGAACCCAGGTCCTACACCCAGGAGTTCCCCTCCTCTGCCCCTAAGCTTACTCAACTCAGGACTAGCACCCCATCTAGGGACTTGACAGCCTACCTGTGTACTGGCATCTCCTTCCCTCCCTTTCCCCTTCCCTCCCTCTCTCCCTCCCTCATCAGTGAGTCTTAAGGAGCTCACTTTTTCCAAGACCTGCACTCACCTGCTATCCCTGCACACCCAGGCAGCCAAGACTCTGACCCCTCCCATCCTTTCTCAGCAGGCCTCTGATCCCCAGGCTGCCTCCTTCCCAAGTACCCAGCTCTTCCTTCCCAAGCCTCTGCTCTCTGCATCAGGCAGAGATAACTCAGGCACAGCCCTTGTCCTCTTTAGCCTTCCTGACTGGTCAGCCTCCACCTGCAGGTTAACACCAGGCCTTACTGAGCACCGTGGCCTTTCTTCCTCACAGCCTCCCCATCCCACCCTGAGCTTCAAGCTCCCACTCTCTAGCAATGAGACACATTACCTTATGGCCTTTAGCTTCTTTGCATTAAAAAAATCAGCCCCTCTTTGGGACCTGGTGCCAGGAGTCACCTCCTCCAAGAAGCCATCCTGCACACCTCGCTCAGCTCCCTTGAGACAGCTATGCTGTTTGTTTAGGTTGGACTCCCATCCTTGGAAACATGATGCTGGTTTCTACTGTGGAGATGACTTAACTAGACTAAATGACCTCAGTGAATCTTGCTTCCAGAGAAAACCTAGGTTTGTTCAATTCACAGACTGTTTTTCTAGTCTGCAAGGTGAACATCACCGAAGGCTTGCAGTGTATCAGAACTGTCGATGCACCAGACAGAAGCAGCAGCCACTAATGGAGCTGGCGTTGTCCCAGAGTAGCTACTAAATCACAGAGTAAGCATCAACAGGTGTTTGGTTGATCCTGCTGATGTGGTATGGGGACACCAGCTGCCATGGTGAGGACACAGGATGTAGGGACTGCAAGCCTTCTCCATGCCTGTCCATCCCAGGATAGTGTGATACCACCCAAATATGATTGTGATTCTGTTTGTATATATTCAAACAAATTCATCAAGGTGCTGCTGTCCCTCAGGACCCACAGGTGATTTGTACTAGGAGCCCCTCAGACATCAAAATCGAAGGATACTTAAGCCCCTTATTTTAACAACGACTGGCATTTGCTAGTCAGTTTTGTGTTCTTAAGTGAGTACTTGTGCCATCAGAGCTGAGCACAGTGCCCGGAAAACAACAGCTGCTCAATGTATATATGATGATTGGCTGATGAAATGACTAAATAACTGGATGGATGGATGGATGGATGGATGGATGGATGGATGGATGGGTGGATGGATGGGTGGGTGGGTGGATGGATGGAGGGATGGATGGAGGGATGAATGGGTAGATGGATGGATGGGTGGATGAGTGGGTGGGTGAATGGATTGGGGGG